CCTCTACAAAACTGTAGTTCTTATCTGTACAAAATCTAACTAAAAATTTAATGCATAACAGATTCTCTCCTTTTTTTTTCCCCTCTATAGTGCCAGCCATCAGCATATTTCTGACTACTTTCCAGGTGAAACAGACAATGCAAACATAATCCCTCTGAAGAATTAAGTTTTCTTAGTGAGAATGTTTGGGAGATCTTGCGTTTGTACTTGGAGGCTTTAGATGTTGATGAAGATTGCAAAAGCAATACTGAGAGTGGTGATGTAATGTAATGTGTTTGAGTTTCTTTTGAAGTATGTGTGGAGTGACACATTTAAAGAAAAATATATATAAAATTGAATTTACTCAGTATTTTAATGTGCTTTTATGGATATTTTTCTTTTTGAAATGTTGTAATGTTAAATTTTTTACTAAGAATAGAACAGCCACCCAGGTACCACTCTGTATGAAGCACATGACCATTTGTGTTTATAGTTAGATGATGACAAGGAAGCAGAGCTGACATGACCATGACTGATGAAATTAAATGCATTTTTCAAACACTCAAAAATTGGAAAAACTTTTTAAAATTGCAAGAATTTTAGAATCAAAAGGCGGTATGCAAAGAGGGCACAGTGAGTACGATCAAGAGGTTCTAGCTAGTAGCCATTGTAGGTTAATCCTTACATTTATTTAGAAAGAAGTAAAATCTTCTTGTCAAATAAGAAAAACCACCAAAGAGAGCTGCCTTACCCTCACCTTGGTTCTTGAAATTAAATATGGTGGCTCAGGGTCCCTTTTTTTAAACATAGATTTCTGTGGGTGATCAATGAGGGCTGAATGCTTTGATCATGTCCTCTTCACCGCGCCCACTCTTCACGTCAGAGATGAAGGGCAGGGAATTGTTACATTTTGGCAGTTCTGTGTCACCCCAAGTTGCTCCTATTCAGGGAAATGCCCTGACTGGATGTTTAAGCTGCTTTCTACCCTCATTTACATCAGCACAAAAAATACCAGTGATTCTGGTGCCAGAGTCTTTTTCTTCTTCAAAAGGAAAATCAAACAGCATGACTGAACTTGGAAGACTGAACAAGCAGCTCCATCTGAATAAAGAAGGACAAAAAGAGGAGAGAAAGCAGTTGATGCAAAAGCGTGTTTTTGTATTTGTGCTTTGCACTTTGACTCCAGTGGATCCAGATATCCCTCTGAGCGTGACCTGAGAAAAATAGCCTCTATGTCATGTGTCCTATAAAAGGCTCAGCAAAGCCTTCCATTGCTCTGAAAAAGAAGTGTAACATTTTAAATAAAGTAACTGATTTTCAACTGAAAGGAGAGCCAAGTCATCCAGACACTTTTCTGTTTCTTAAATATTCTTTGTGGGCAATTTTATATATATTTAATAGCTTACACATATATATTTTTTTTAAAATGTAAGTATATGTGATTATATATGTTCATTGTTACATTATTTTAATTTTTTAATTTATATACATAATTTTATGTATGTTTTTATGCATTTACATTTACATTTATTTCTTCCTTTACATAAAAATAATAAAATAACACTCTAATTGGATTGTAGTCAGAAGTTACAATGTTCATATACTAATGAAAAGGTTATTTCTTGTGCCCTGCTCCTGCAGACATTAAACCTTACCTTCTTAAGGCAAAAGCACTCAGTATATTTCCAGATCATCCAAAAAAGTTTAACTAAGCGAAAGAGAAAAATACCTAAAGAAAAGGCATATTAAAATAGCTGATATGTGCTGGGGTACTGGTTTGATTATCTTTTTTTTTTTTCTTTAGATAAAAATATCTGCATGATACTTTTATTTGTTCTTTTTAGCTGCTGGCTGAAAGTGACAGAAAACTTTCCAAGAAGTTAGAAAATATTTCTTTTTCAGACTGAACAAATGTACATAACATTTTTTTTACTTTCAGGAGGTTATTACTGGTTTGATGATAGCTGGTATATTTGGAAGACCAATGTAAAATGTGCAGCCACTCATCTGTCCTCTTATGGTGACCAACATGACAACTGGACCATGCTGTTGCAGAAGGGCTGAGCTCATTGCCTGCTTCCCTCTTCCCAATGTTCCCATTTCACAACTGTCGAAAAGGAGTAGAGGACATACCAGCTTTCATTTTCAGGGCCAGTTTACTAAATCTGACATTCAATACCCAACATATATTAGAAGGATTCAAAGCATGGACTTTCACCAGTGCTGCTGCTGTTATCAAGCAGAACTCATGCTGTCAGCTCCTTAGCTCATGTCTTCTCTGAAGCTGCTCCTCTTTCTCCTTTAAAAGGTTTCTTCTGTAAATGAGTGGAAAAAGAACAATTGCCCTAGGAATGGTGCAAACAATAAAGTCTGGCTTCCTTGAAGACTTTTTCAGGATGCCAAATCTACGTTTGAAAATGACACATTGTAAGAATTGCTTCATGCTAGAATGAGAGCATGCCAACAAAAAATTGTGGTTATCATTGCTCAAAATTGTTGCAGTCATTAGGAATAAGTTTGGAAATAAAGAAACAGTCAAGGTTTTTTCAACTCCTTAAACAAAACTGTTAAAAGCAAGCTACATTTCAGCCAAAGGGAAACAAAAACAAATTAAAGAATGACAGAGAGAGTGGAGCAGAGTAGTTACTAAAGAACTACTAGTAATAGTAAGGGATGGCTTCTGCCTTAGAATTGCTGACCCACCTTTGTGGGTGCCTGCCACTCTCCACATGGTGTGCCTCACTGTAGCTGCACCTGGGATAGGCAGTACTGCTGCTCAGCCTCATAGGTATATACACCTCCTTTTATGGGCTGGAGTTTTTTCCCCCTGTCTAGCTTTACAAACAGAGGGGGTCTGTATAATTAGGTCAAGTAACTTAATTAAGCTTTTGTAATCCTTTGCACACTCTAGAAGGGAATGTAATAAGGTCTACTCTATAGATTAGAGGAATGTAACAAGGTCTGCAAGGTATAGATTATATCTTCTTCATCTCCTCAGTTCTTTTGACACTCTTCTCATCAAATGCTGACAGTTCTGTGTTTTCTCTATTCCAATCAAATCTACAAATTTTACATTTAGTGATAACACTTGCATTTTACTCTAAGGCTAAATCTAAACTAAGAGGTTTCAGTAATGAAGAGAAATGGAGAACATCTCTGAACTTGAATGAACTATTGTCCAGGCTGGTCAATCATGAGCACAAAGGAAAAAAGTAGGAATGAGAAGAAAACTTAGCATAAAGTAATCTCACAATATTATTATTATCTTTTCAACCTATTTAAAAACTAACAAAGTAATTAAAAATCAGTTGAATTGTGATTAGTAGTCAGAATTTTCCTACTGGTGTGCAGTAGGAGATTAATTTGAACCTGTAGGATTTATGATCAAAATTTCAAATGTAGCATGAACAAGGATACACACCAAACAGCATTTGTTTTTATGAGCCATATCCCTGTGACTCTCCCATGTGGAAAAAGCTACCCAGGTGCTAAAATAGTTTGTAGAAGCAGTCGAGAGCCTGTACAGTCCTGTAGCCATCACAGGACTTTAACAGACATCCACAATGGGAAGTCCAAAATAGATACCAAATGCCAAACTTAATAATTGTTATTTTTCTTGAAACAGTGCTTTTGGATATTATTTTACTGGTAACTAGTTGTAAAATTTTTATGGACAAGAGAAAGTTGTCTTCTCATGTTTTCAAACTATTTTGATTGTTGACTAATAACCATATAAATTTGATGGATTAAAGTGCCTCTAATAAAATATTAAAAGAAATGTTTTGTTTGTTTCTCATTTATAAGGAAGTGTATATTTATCTTTAGCTTATGAAAAGATATAATTGTGAGCACACATTGTTTACCTTCCAGGCATTTGGAAAGCAAGTGAATATTGAGAGGATGTTAGAGGAATGCTATGCTGTTTTATGACAGCCTTTATGAGGACAGGCAGATGTGATGGACAGATGGGTGGACTAACAGAACTAAATGCGTTATTAGCTGCTCAGACATTTGCTGAATGTCAGCCAAAACTACTGAATCATAGTAATTGACCATTGTTAAACATGTCCCATGAGGAGAACAGCTACATGCATAACAAAAATGCGTAACATTTTGGGTAAGATACAAAGACAGGAAAATTATTGTACCCACTCATATAAACCACACCATAAAGAGTTGAAAAAGTTTGTTTCCTTTTAAAAGGTCTATGTGAGTCTCAATTAATTATCTGCCTACTTAATATAATACTGTTTTAAAAGTATTTATATACCGAGTTCCTCCTTCTACACAACAAGAAAAACAATATCTGGATATTTTATTATGCCCTTTAATCAAATAGTTTAGAAACTTTTGAAACAAAGCCCTTATAATCTCTAACATTTATTTTATTCCTCACTGAAGTGCAGCCACCAAAAATGGAATGCTGTATATGTCTAACAGTATTCAGCATAGGGCTGTTCCTTGTAAAATGGTAAATCATAATGATTTGTTCTCTGGTATCTGCTGATGGATGAATTAAATCGCTGACTATATTTACAGAATAAATAAAAATGTATTTTTGTTCTGACGCCTTTGAAATTAAACTGCACCTCACTAATATGCAGAGACTAATTGGAAAAGGACTGCAGCACCTCTGAAGGAGGTCATAGTGTGAATCACACCACAACAGTGAGTAATACTTGGGAAGAAAAAATGATCTGCCTTCTAACATGACAAGAATGATTTGCAGATAATAATAGAGGGAGTAAAGGCCAGTCTTTTCAGTTACCCTTGGCTTCACCTAGGACAAAATAAAAAATCACTTCAGTTGCTGTGAGCTACTTGCCTTTTTCCCAATCATTATTGCTTAGTTATAACTTAGTGATAAAATCTGTCATTACTGACTTTATTGACATTAAAGTTGATTTATTTGCATGCCTGGTGGATAAGAACTGCATTATGCTGGCTTTCAGATTGCTTGCGTACTCAAGATAGTAAGTGCATCACTGACTTAATTGTCTTTTGCTGGTTCACTTGTTCTCTAATCTCAGTTTGAATATAATATTGGGTCAAATTCAACCTTGGCATAAGTCCACTGACTTCAGTGGTAGTTCTCTAGAGAAGATTTTGATGCAGAAGAATCTGAACTGTCTACATTTGAAAGCTTTTATTTCCTGCTATTGTATAATGTGTTAGTCAGAAAACAAGACTTTTTCCTTCTGAAAATTAAGTAATATATTCAGTTGCTTGAGTATGGGCTCATCTTCCTCTATTTTAGGGTCCTTATATTAAAAATTTCAGCATTTGCATCTAATTTCCTGTGATATATGTTTATGGTAGAAGAAAAAAGAAACTAAATACCAATTGAGAAAATGCAGTTTCACTGTAAAACAAATAAACTACAAATAGCAAGATTTCATTCCTTACATAACCAAAGATTTCTGTAATGAGCTATTCCAGGAAAAAAAAGAAGGCTGTTTTTTTTTACTGTTTTTCCAACAGTTTCTTTTCTCTTTCTGGGGAGTTATTTAAAAATACATTTTGGTTCATAGTAATCTATTCAGCTATTTACTACACCCATGTTCAACAAATCTGAGCAAAACAAAAACTGGGAAAAATTATTTCCATTTCAAGGTTTGGTTTGGTATCCCAGTTTGGGACTTTCAGCCAGCCGTTCTGAGATGCAACTATTCATACTACTCACCTTCACTTGGACTTTAGTGTTAACACAGATGACACTGACCATAAGTGCTCAAAATAACTGAACTCTCATGAGTAACTGAAAGGACACCCAGAAAATAAAACCTATGAATTATCTATATTAAGAATACCCAGAAGCCCTTCAGGCAAACATGCAAATAGAAATTCAAGCTGAATCATTGCAGCTTTTCGAAAATAACTTGAGATTTCAGATCCAAAAATATCTACTACAGTGTCTTCAGTGATGGAAAAGGCAACATTTTGACCTTAATTAAAATTCATACTTTCTTGAGTATTTGCAAAGAGTAAATGTGAAATTTCACATAGAAGTATGTTTAAAATGAAATGCTGTTGACTGCATGTGTGAAATGCTTGTTTAAAGATTTTCAGTATTAATAAAAAAAATTTGTCTGATGATAAAAGATAAGAATACCTCTGCATTGCAGGGACATTTACTTCATTCTATTTGCCAAACAAATTCTCACTGAATTGCACTGGAGTTTTTTCTCTTTATAAAACTAATTGCTGTCTCTTTAGTGGATATAGCAAGATGAAGTTTACTGAGATAGTGAGAAACATTTAATTAAATACTTCTGCAATAATTAATTAATAAACATATAAAGTGGCTTTTCTCCTGAAACATCTTCCATTTCTCAGATTTTCTAGTCAAATACAGTTAATAGCCTAATCCCCAGGATTTTAATCTTTTTTTTGCTGAGCTTTAATAAACTATTATCTGATTATTTTAAGAGTGCTCCCTGTGTACCTTGATACTACTGCACTAAAAAAGTCTATGGTTGTTGACTCTATCAGATTTTTGGTTTCTTGTTTTGTTTGGTTTATGGTGCTAAAAGTGCAGACCAAATTAATTTTAAGATACAGCTGGAGGAAAACTCAGAATGTCATTTAATTTTCTTACACCTGCAGAGAAGAACAGTGGGATATTTTTTGACAGATGCTTGTACAAGGCCCAGTGATGGAGATTCCACAGTCTCCACAGCAACACGTTCCACGAGTTCATTATCCTCTTAAAAAGATATTTTAGTGCTCTGTGAAAATCTTTCCTGCGTAACTGAAAGAGTTTATAATTGTTTTTATGACCTAATCATGATAACCAGTACAATGTAACAATAGGCCATTTAGATGTATGTATGTTAGTGTGTGAATAAACAATTAATTTCTTGGTATGACTTTTGAATTTTTTGTCTCCTTTGATTTGTTGGGTGAAATTTGTCCTAGTAATATGAATTATTATGAGTCATTCAACTTGTCCATTATTTACAATAATTTTACAACAAAATCCCTGTATCATTTGCATCACAAAATTATGGCTCTGTTAAGTCATCCCCCATATCTTATCTTCATGTCCTTTTGTTTCATCTCTAGAGCTTTTCTAATGGCAAACCAGCAATCCACAAAGATGTAGTAACGTATTTTCAATATTCTATTGTTTTTCAATAGAAATTAACATTTTATTTGCTTTGTGTTTTAATTTTTTTCCTAGATTCATTGAAGAATTAAATACATTGTACATAAAATGTTCCTTAAATATATTGCCCAGCATTAAACTATTTTTTTCTTAGTGATCGATGTTGATGTAGGAGGTGTCAATATGGATAAATTAACGTAAAGTAACCAAATCCAACATTCACCTCTGTCTTCTTTATGCATGAAATACTTTGTTGATTTTTTAATTCTTGACCTACACAATTTTCAGAAAGACATTTCAGTCTGTCTTTCTATTTATCCTTTACTTGAGAACATTAATAAGTGTGTAATAAATGTGTCAAGTACCACTACTGTTAGAAAGAATACAGGGGCATCTCTTTATTAACCTTCTTCCATGTTGAAAATGAACACTTATATCTATTCTTTGTTTTCCTATCTCTGAGACATTTTCTAATATGAAACAGAACTTTTATAATTTATTCTGTAGCTCCTGTTTCCTTAATAATCTCCTGTGAAGTATTTTTTCAAAGACATCTTAAAAGTCCAATTAAATTATTTTTATTAATGGGCAATTCTTTTTCTATTAACTCTTTGCTGTGTTTTCTATATCAATACAAAGCAGTTGGATGTACTCCAGAGTAAGTGAGAAAGCTGGTGCTTTCTTATTTATTTTCAGTTTAAAAAGTCCTAGTTTAGTTTGGGTGGGAAGGTTCAGATTCTGGGTATTGAAAGCATTTTTATTGTACAAGTTAACAAACCCATTTTCTTAAACATAAGAGGACTTTTGTCAATTTCAGGTGTCAAAATAATGGAAGATGAGCTATTGCCTAGGACAACTTTATTTCAGTACCCAAACTTTTGCTATGTTTTGTCATGACAAACTTTGATCATCCAAACTTTTCAAATTAAGTGCAATACTGAAAATATTCCTACTAACAATCTTAATGCAATAAATTTTACTTATTACAGGAAGGAGTGCCTTTAAAAATTGTTTTAGTTTGCTTATAGAGTTTTAAGTAGGTGGGCATTCTTGCAGGATCATTACAGTGCTCACAAACTCTTGTCTAGAATTTCCTCTAACTCAGTGGTCTATCAGATTAATTATTAGTCAGTATGTCTTCAAAGGTATTTACTTTGCTGTGAACAGGAAATTGTGCTTCAAAAGTTTTTGAAGTTCCTTAAATGGACGATAAATAGCTTGCTAAGTACTCTGATTTCAAGAAACAGTGAGCAGAGTCAGTCTGCATCTACATCAGATGAAATTGTAGCTTCTTAGTAGAGGCAGGAATTCATACCTGTTGCATCCGTGAAACTCAAAATAAGATTTTGTGTCTAAGGCAGCAGCTCAGCAATTGAAGATGGCTTTTTTAGTGTGTCTTTAGAAACCAACACGATTTTCCTCAAGGCACTCTTTTCTGAATCTATCCAATGGAAAAGCATTTTGCACCCAAAGTGTTCTTTTAATGTTAATTTAGGAAATAGGGTGCACTTTAAGAAGGATTTTTGCTCTGTGATCCAAGTGTATAAAAAACTCTATAACTTGAAATATTTTGTACATATTTATACCCATTGCATTTTGTTCCGTAGTATTAGTGCAAACACGAAATACAAAACTTATATATTTTATTTTAATTATAAAAACTATAAAAAAATAAAAATAAGCACTCTATTTTGGAAAAACATCCTTCTGTAATAAAACAATCTTCTTAAAAAATAAACATAGTCAAATAGTTACACGTAGACCATTTTACACCTAGACCATTTTGTTGCCTTGAAAAAAGTCAGAAGAATATAAGACAAATATAAAATTTGGCATAATTATTTTCAACATTTTCTTGGGGTAAAAAAAAAAAAGAAAGAAAAAAAAAGGAAAAAAATCTATTTTGAGAAATTATGTTTTCAGCATATTTTCTTTTAAAAAAGTACAACAAAAAATAAAAGTTATTGTGCTGATATATAGCTACCACCTTTGTACTGACAATGACTGGGCACAGATATAATATTTCCCTATGGTTATTCTCATGGAAAAAAACCTCAAGGAAAAAGAAGGAAATTTCTTATCCAATGGGAAAGAAGGACCTGCTTCTTGTG